CGTGCTTCGGCGTAGAATCCTCTCTTCGTGAATTGTACAAAATAAAAAAGAATCTGCTAATAATTGTAATTTTAACACGCACGATTCGATCGTCGAACGCTTTGGACGAATCTATGAAATTCAAATTAGAAAATATTGTAAGAGAGAGAGAGAGAGAGAGAGAGAGAAAGAGAGAGAGAGAGCGAGCGAGCAACATAGAACATATAGAATGGAAAAATGGAAAAAAAATAATAATACGAAGATACCCTACATTCCAGCACTTACACCTCGACACCCAGCACTGACGTCCAGATCGCTTGATTTAATCGAGTAAACGCTAGTGATTAGAGACGAGATAATGTGACATTGTTATGAGAGAAGTAATGCGCGTAGCTAGTTTGCCTCGGTCGCCTCCGTTTTTTAGGAACCACTCGAACGAACGAACCCGCGCCAGAAGTTTGGCTTCGCGCGAGACGCTGCGTCGTTCGCGAAACCAAAATGAAATTTTTAAAAAGATGGCAGAATTGGCTCGTTGAACGATTAAATATGATTTTTACAAGCGTTGGGGATTTACGGGAATATTGAAAGTGAGTACAGCGATGCTTTTTGCAATATGGAAATGGAAAATCAAAGTAATAAGATACTCTTAATTGTCGATATAGTCGTTTGATCGTTGGTTAAGGCTGTTCCAATTGATCAGTCTCGTACTCTGTTACGAAACGATAGTTTTCAGATGTTTCCTTGTCTAATTGAATGTATGGAGATTAAACGTGCATAATACTATTCGTAGTTAACCGAGGCGATATGATGCACGTATTATTATCCAACAGTTAGTGACCTACAATACTCGTATGCTGCTTTCTATACTTTATTGAATTCTGATCTCCAGCTGTGGAGAAGCACAATATCGGTGTACATTAAGCTACATTACGTTCACTGAATCCGAATTTTTCTCTCAGAATGATAAAACATTAATTATGAACTATTATAATTATGCATATATGGCAGATGTTTTCAACAATCTGTTATAGTTCGATAATTATAATAGCTGAATACGTAAAAATATGTTGATCGCTGCTAAATAAAATGCTTAATTAAAAAAAAAAGTAATTATAAAGATTGAAATTCACGATCAACAAAACAATTACGAATAGTATTCTGTACATAGATAAAAGAAGCCTCCAATTTTAATATTTCCATAATTTCTTCACTCGCGTTACGTTCAAAGAAATCACAGATTTCACTCCGCAAAAACCTTAACTCAATTCGAACAGAGCCGACTACAAATATCTGTAATTTTTCGCATCGCTGCAACATCTTCTCCTGCAAATTCACCTCCGGCCTACAAAATTGCCTAACAAAACGCATAACGATCTAAGATCATGCAAGGAGCTATTATTGGAGCACGTACATCTCTGGAAAGAAACATCGAAAGAGGTCACGAAGACGGAAACAAGATGTTTAAAGGATTTATCTGGACGTACGTGTTCCGATTCGTTCGCAAGCCGGTTGACAAGTTCTTTTTCCGCGTGAACGTTTCTCGAGACGTGAAAAGCACACGAGCTGTGTCACGTACGGTGTACGTCAATGTTCGAACGAGTAATCTTCGCCCCATCCTGCGCGATTAAAATTTTATCCGCGTGCCTCTGTGACGTAAAAGTCGGATTCTCCAACAACGGAATCTCCATTATGAAATAATACGTAGTCGTCGCGATACGAACACAATTTTCACGTGAATCGGATGAAATTGCTTCTTAATGCTTAACTTCGGTGCTATCGTATAACGTTCGATATATGTACGGAAGTTTCTACGATAAGTAACACGTTGACTGCAGCTCCGGGCAAAGTTTATGCGTTCACCCATAGCGAGTGAAGTGCTTTCGCTTGTTTCACAGAGATTCATTGTAATACGCATATATAATACGTAACCTTTTAAAAAATGAAATTGTTCGAGCGCTTTATGCCGCATTTAGTGCTTTACGTTGTTACAGGCACGTTAAGCGTATCGAAAATTTTACAGATACGATTGTTCGTTTTATTCGATTTACGACAGTCGACGTGTTAATTTTAATGTTATTGTTTGATACCGCTAAATCGCGTTTATGCAGAACGAGGAGCTGATGTTGCATCGAAATTTTTATTAAATTCCTTCTTGCGTGACCAGTAAGATTCATTGTGTCTATTACATCTATCTTATTGTGTTTTTTTCTTTTTCTTTTTTTGAGAATTTAATTAAGTAATTCGTTTTAGAGTGAAATAAGTAACGATAAATAATAGTCGTCACTAGGAAAGATTAGCTGCGAAAGAAAGAAAAGCTAATTCCAAAATTACTTGTTTAAAGACTTGGTCGTAATTCTGTTCTTTGTTATCCATCAGTTTCGAATTTTTCATTCGAAATATAAATAGGACGTAAAGAGAAAAGTAGAAAAATCGTAAGACAAGGAGTTAGAAAGCGATATTCATGCTGTAATTGCAATCGACCATTGCAAGCAACTATCGCGAGCGATTTTACAATCAATCTCGTATTTTTCAATACAGTATCCGTCATACTCGTTCCATAAGTTGAGTACCAGCCAGTACGCAGACAAAGTATCGCGTGATGTGCCTAGAAACACTCTAGCGCGACCTTGCTGATCTTAGATATTATGCGCCGCGATAGGACACGTACATGAATTATCGGGGCACGATCATCGCTACGTTCGTAGACAAGGAACAGGTAGCGCGAACGAATCGACGCGTCTCGTTTTCGCATTTCGCTCCTCTGCTGGCGGTCGTCTCGAGGCAACGGTTCGATCGACGCAACGATCAAACGGACGCGACACGACCGCCCCATGTACATCGTTCGTTGTCTCGATCGACCGTAATATCTCGTAGAAAATCTTCGGGATATCTCGACGATGGGAAGCAGCCAGAGGATAGAGATAAATAAAGGGAACACGAAAGAAGAAGAAATGGAAAAGAAAAATAGAAATGGTGCTCCGAAAGCTTATGCGTCTTTCTGGCGTTCGTTGTACTCGCGATTCCCGCCGTTCTATCGTCTCCGGATGTTAAAAGGCAAAAGGAAGAGAAGGAAGCATAGCGAAGGTGAGAAACGTAATCTCTACGCGTTGTTCGGAAGTTTTTAGATGGCTCCTCGAGCGAGCGAGGAGGATCGATATAAATGAGTAGAAACGAGAAAGAGAACGAAAAGAAACGTACAACACACATGTGTACACACAGAAAATCGCTAAAGAAAGAAAGCTCTCGTGCACATAGGGATCATACGCCGCTCACGAGAACACACAATGTCCATCGGTTGCTCGAAGACGCGTTCGAGCTGCGATTCCGATGATAAAATAGAAAACGAGTTTTTTTTTTGGAATATAAGACGCGCGAATGAAACGTTTATAATTTTGAGCTGTTAATAGCGAAAATTTTCGTGCGAATAGAAAACAGACGGGGAACGTTTCGTTTTTGCGTGAATCGACGGTTAAGGCATTTAGTACCCGTCGGATGGAACTTGGTTAATTTTAACCGAGATTCGCTTCCGATGGAACTTGTCGGTCGCAGCTTGTGCGTGTTTCAACACGAAGGAAATATGCGTGTAATGGTTTAAGATGTTTATGACAGCGTGGCGAAAGAAGAAAAAAGGAAAAAATAAGAAAAGAGAAAAAGCGATGTTCGAGGCGACAGGTTGTACACGTGTATAACACGATTATAATTACCAGGATCTCTCGACGTTTGAGGAAATGAAATCGGAGAGAAAGACTTGTCCGTAACTAACTTCACCACGTTGACACGCGTTCTTGATCATTATGGGTACTACGCCTTGTTTCGTGTAAAATGACGTTTTGTTTCGGTTCTTAGGCGAACGAATGCATATCATAGTTGTAAATTAACGATTTGTGAAATAAAAGCTGCAAACTGTTTGTGTTAACAATAGGTCATTGAACCTTGATGTCTTTTTTTCTGGGGATAATTCACACCTGCCCGTTTCTTTGGTCGTAGATTAGCTTCTTATCGCTTGCTCCTTTTTGATGTTTTCCTCCTTGCGGTCGTTTGCTTTCGATTTTCGTTTTCTAACATTCGTCGTTGTTTAACTCCTTGCCTCGCGTAATATTTTCTATGAAATTTATAATGCAGTTTAAGAATCAAAATTATCAAACGAATAAATAGTAAGGTAATCGTTTGGCGAGGAGTTAACTAGAAGTACACACTGATTATCCTTCATTTCCTATTATTTCTATATTTCATTTCAACGTATTTAACAAACATTAAGATGTACATATTATACTATTACTTGGGTGTCTGTGTCAGAGGCGATGAAACGAAGGAATAACTCACGTACTAAATATACAGAAATGATATTGGTAAGTTTGCCCTATTTTGAAGATAATCTTTTATCTATTCTTATAATACATATTAATACTGCATGCCTTTCTACATTTCTATCTAAATTTCAGTTTGCATCTCGATTTTTATACATATATACGTATTCATTACAGTTACACGCTTATCACCGATTGTTATTCAGAATATATAATTAAAATAAAAGATAGAACAAGCACGATCAATATGGTTTTATACGAATCATATGCTTGAATCGGAATCGTAACCCTGACCTGGTAATGTATAGATTCATAGATGACCACGATAATTTAAATTAGATTCGAATTAGGTTACTTAATTTTTATTTCTATCCTATATCTTAGATCATAAAGACTACCGGTGTTCTTTGTCGCGTAAAATATAGTAAAGTAGCATAAAATTAAATAAAATCGAATAGCTTAAATCCAAGATCTCATAGATCGTTCATAGAACAGGAACGATATCAATTGAAAATCGACTCATCGTTTCTACAAACTGTCGTCTTAACGAACTTCTGCTATCCACAGTCCATAAAAACGCTTCGTCATTCAACTCCTAAAATCTACCTTCGTCCTTTGATCCAGCAATCCTAAGAAAAACATCTCACATCCACATCGCTATATACACGAATCAAACCTAGCCGAATTCCATCTAACAGACCACGATCATTTCAGGTGTCGCTGGCCCTCGGTTTGGATGCAGGAGGTTGGGGTGCCCTGGTGGAACGCACGAGTGGCGGCGGCGGAAGCGGTTCCCTGCTAGGTCACGGCGGTTTCGCCGGTCTGGCGGGGTTGGCGCGTCGCTGCGGCGTCTGTCTGGCTACGTTTCCTTCCGCCTGGTTGCTGGAACGGCACGCGTTGCTTCAGCACGCCGGCCAGGCTAGCGACGACAAACCATTCACCTGCGAGCAATGCGGCCAACGCTACCGTTACCGATCCGCTTACGTGAAACACCGGGAGCAAAACCATCGGGCCCGCCTACCGGCCGATAAGCTTTTCACCTGCGACGTCTGCGGCATGCAGTTTAGGTACCTAAAGTCCTTCAAGAAGCACCGACTGAACCACGCGTTGGAACGATTGCAACGAGCTCCGGAGCCTCAGAGCAGCGCGATGACGGTGTCCGCGGCTGCAGAGAGAAGCGACCAGGTGTCCAGCACCGGGGAACCATCGCAGGTGGAGACAGGGAGCGACACCACTACCAATCCAGGTGAGGAAGAGACGCGGGGAACCTTCAATGAAAATGCTCGCGAAGAGAGCATCTCTGAGACAGCCAGCGTGCAGGAGAATCCTGGCGAGGCTGTCGAGGTTCAAATGACCGAGGCTCCTACAGGAAACAGCAGATCAGCCGGTGGTACCAGCGAGGTTGGCGACACGGATGACAACGCTGTGGACGACGATCGTTCCGAACACACGGATCCTGTGATCAGCCTGGCTCGCAGCAGTCACGAGGTTGACAGGCGCGAACGTCGCTTCGCCTGCCCCTTTTGCGGTAAGTGCGTCCGTTCGAAGGAGAACCTGAAACTCCACGTACGTAAGCACACCGGCGAACGACCGTTCGTCTGTCTCTTCTGCGGACGCGCGTTCGGCGGAAAAAGCGACCTTACTAGGCATCTTCGTATCCATACCGGAGAGAGGCCGTATCACTGCGAAATGTGCGGCAAATGTTTCGCCAGGGCGGATTATTTGTCCAAGCATCTCACCACCCATATACACCAACGCTAAACTGCGTGGATTGTACGGACGTTCTTGTCACTCGCTGCGGCGTCTTCTAGCTCGGGTGTTTAGGGATTCTGCGATAGCGAAAAGGGTTGTTCTAAGTGGATGAATTTCGATTGTGAGCGAATCGACTCCTCGAAGTACGCAATCGCCACAAAGATATTTCGATGTTGCAAGTTTTTCTTTAGGTAGTAGCTAATCGTGGCGATTCTTGCTTTACGCGCACCGCTTCAGGGACCGACAGCGAATCACTTGTATACAACGATCGTAGAAAAACGAATTATTTTAACCGCGATGCTTGCGTATTGTGTATCGTTGAACGCGTTTGTTACATCCCGCGGAACACCCTTTCCGTGTCAAAGATAGTCGAAGAAACGAGACAACGACGTAAGAAAAATAACGAAGCTTCATTCATGTAGAATTCGCCCGATCATCGAGTAAAAGATCGTAACAAGGGGCGAGCAGACAGGTGAGAGAACGTCAACGTACGCAAAGGTAGTTTTCGAAGGTTCGTCCACGCGAGATGTCCGCTCTTCTCAGAGTCGAACGAGAGAAATTCTGGCGTGAAACTTCGGAGGATGCGGGAGATCGGCATATTTTTAAGATAACGTTAAACTACGCTTCGTAAACTTCGCGTCTTCGGATCCATTTTTCGAGGCTCGTTCAACTTGCGATTTTTTTTTTCACGAGTTCTTTCCTCTCTCTGGTGCGTAATCGAAGAAAAGGAAGATTCGAGAAACGTCTAGAGCGCGATAAGAAGAGGAGAACCACGTATCCATCCAGCCATTTGCCCATCGAGACGAGTCAATTACAGAAGAAGAGTGGAAATGAAGAAATCGTCGACGACGATGGCCATACACGCGTGATTGTAATCTTATCACGAACGTGTAAGAGAATAGAAGAACGAAGTGAACGAAGAAAAACGAAAGTGGAAGAAGGTCGAAGATTTCTACTTAACGTTAGTGAGACTAATTTGTGATAAAGGATTCGAAACCAAAGAACGCGACGAACGTCGACGATGACGGCTCGTTTTTGTTGTCTTCTTCGTCTTCGTGCACCACCGACGAGCGATCTACTCGTTTACGTAATAGCTGTCAGCGTAATCGATGCGATTTTTATACAGTGCACGCGATAACGATCATTCTTCCGTATGCCACGCAGTCGAGGACACGTCGCGACTCCTGGTTGGACGGGAAGTATCTCCTGAATGGAAATCTAGTGGAAAAATATGTAACGTCTAGTATAACGTTTATGATTGATATATTGGCCCCGATTCCGTGACAATTTAATATGAAAAATGTGACCCTTTTGATCAAATTTTTTTTATGGAACTTTATCGTAGAATAGTTAAAAAAACGAATACGATGCAAGATTTTCCTTATATTTACGAGTTAACGTTTGAATCATTAGGTGCAATTGGATTTTTTAAGTTGATTTAACCCTTAACTAGTACTGTCAGATCCTGATAATACTTTGCGTGTTATAAATATTGTCATGATTTCACTCTCAAGTAATATGTGACTTAAATATGTTGAAAATTGTTGATCAGTTCGAATTTTATAGTTGCGTATCCCGGAAGACGGATGCTCTTTTTCTAAATTTCTCAATCGTATTACCCGAATGTACGATAAATATCCAATTTCTTAAAGAAACAAAACACGCGTCTGTAAGTATGATTTATCAAGAGAGTAAAACAAACATAAATTTGAAGAAATAATATTTGTAACATCATCGTATTTCTCACCTTCTAATTTATGAGGTTGATCGTTGTGGCTGCTGAGCGACTCAATTATAACTTACAAGCGAAGGTTTACATTTTTTATCCAGCCTAGAACTTCGGTAAAGAGTTAACATGCTTCTATTTCACTGTAACTAGTTAAGGGTAACTTGCTTTACTCGCATCCTTACAGTTTCGTTCTTTTTATTCCATTAATCTAAAGAAACAGCGGAATTGCTGGTATAATGATGCAGAAGAGTGGTATCTTTGGACCGGATTGATATTTATCTTCATCCAAGCAACATTTTAGCTAGTCTTCGATCGATCTTACCGTGTCTTTTGCATTATTTCCGACTCGATCGTGTTTCCCTATTGTTCGAAAATTCTCTGAATTCCAAGAAAACCTGCGAAGGAACATATACGAGGATTAATTGAACTCCTCTCGATTTGATCCTTTTGTTTCAATCTGAGATTCTATTATTTGAATAAAAAATGATCAATCGTGGCGAGAAAATAATCAGATAAATGAAACAAACGTAAATTTCTTATTTAGAAATATGCAATGATGGATACAAAAGACACGGTTTATAGAATTTTAGGTGGTAGTTTAATAGGGATTAGACAAACTACTTAATTGTTTGACTGCAAGTATCGCGAAATATTGAATTTCAAGAATTAATTAACAAAAGCTGCGCTAGAAACATAATCCGTGTTATACGTGTAGCTCGAGATTATTCGTTACAAGTGGAGGATTCTCGCAGCAGCATCTCACGAGAAACAATCATGTTTGCTATTCTTCCTCTGAAATTAATTAGCCACTCTGGTCTACAGCCTAGACTGCGAATATCACGAGTAGTTTCCTCCTTCACAATTTCACCTGAAATAGCGTGTGCTTGCGTCTTTATGTTTTCTATCCTTAAAACAAATAATAAAGACACGTCACACGTGGAAGGAGGAACGAGAGTGGTTAAACAAATACCGTGATATTTGGCAGTCGATTAATTACGAGAAAAATAATTCAATTTACGCTATAATTATTTTCTTAATTTGTCCTCGAACTTGTTTCATTAACCAAACGACGTATTCTATTGCGCGAGATTAGCTTAACTTAAGTATCATTACGAGATACCAAATTAAAAAAGTAATCGTTTAAAAAGTAATCGCATAAGAACTTTCGCTCCTCAACCTGACAGTCAGACATTTCATAATCAATGAGTCTGACTCAACGAAATACTAAATTTAACAAATGACCATGTAAAAAGTAATTACGTTGAAACTGCCACCTTTCGATCTAACAACATCGAACGTTCGATGCTCAAAGATTTAAAACATTTTACAGAATACGAAGAGAAGAATAAATTAAAACGACAATTGTTTAAACGATAAATTACATTGAAACGATCAACACGATGATTCGAAATATTCCAAAGAATACCATTCTCTATAATCAATCGATCTATTGAACTATTGCATGTACCTATATAATACAGAGATGAAAAGATAGCAAAAAGAATAGGGATGTGATGGACCGAACGTGTCACATATGCAAATAAGACAGCGTAAGAACGCGTAACGATGAGCGACAGAGAGCAATACTTGCTTCCTTTGCACCAGTGCTATCCCGCTAGTCATTTTTCTAGCTCTGCGCTACGGTATCTATGTAACTTCTACGATCAATCGATCGTAACTCTTGTCGCCGGTGGTCAAAAGACGTTGCATACAATTGAAAGAAACGATAGACTTCAGGTCCAAAGGACGCAGCGACGCGTTCAACGTTAGCATGGATGCGAAGGATAGGCGCGAATCATGCCAGGCCCTTCTCGGAAGCGTTGCCGGTGCCTTGGAAAGCCAGCCGTGTATCCTTTTTAAACCTAGCGATCTAGCAATAAAGCGTGTGTTTTCCGTTCTAGCCGTCACGCAAGTAGAAAAAGAAAACCGACCAGGACACCGTGTATTATCACACGGTCTCCGTGGTTCTTTCAAAAACCTCTTCTTAGCCAATTGTGTCCATTTTGCTGTTTACGTGTATATATATATGTATGTCCCTGATACGTGTACGCATATATATACATACACATGCATATACATACAAATACACATCGATGAAACGATAGATCGTCCAGAATGCACATATGCGCGAGCGCAGAAACGAGAGTGCCGGCTCATTCTCTTGGGACCTGGTCTCGCAAGCGAGTTCACATCGTCGTTCCACTCGTTTCCGTAATTCCAAGGATTCCGAGCATACAACGTATGTATATATATGTATGTGCGTGTTTACATATATACATATATATATATATGTATTTACATACATACATATACAAACAACGTTACTCGAATCCTCGAGGTTCGCCGAAAATACATTTACACTTGTTAGTCGTTCGTATAGCGTTCGCTCATCTCCCATCGGACGCTGGATCGCTGTCGATCGCGAGATCGACCAACAACTTCCGTCCGGTTCCCTGACCGGGATTTTGCGATCGAATTTGAACCTCTCGTCGCGTCTTAACTATTCACAAGGCTACGATAACTACTCGCCTGGTGAACAGGCTGCAGAGAGAGAGAGAGAGAGTGAGAGGGAGAGGGATTGAGACAACGAGAGAGGGAGAGAAAAAGAGAGAGAGAGAGAGAGAGAGAGAGATGGATCCGTGGATAGAAACGTCGACGATGGACGCGTCCACCGGTGGGAACGAAGATCGATCACTTGGACGGATGGTAAATTATTCGGCGCGTTATTCCGTCTTCTAAAATAGACATTAAATTAAGGATAAGTAATGAGATCTACAGCGATCGTTGTTGCAAACGTGCCGTCCCAGTGCCAATGTCTCGTTTACTTTTCGTGAAAGTTATCGCATAGCTTGCGTCGATCTTTCGCCGTCCTGGTGATCGAGATCTGCTTTGAAGTAGCTGCGTGATATAGGAACGACGAGAGAAATTCTTGGTTCGGTCGTGGGCGATTTGAGCTGTTTTTAACGACGCGGGATACTGCGACTGTTACTTGTCCCCGGGAGAACGTGGGATATGATATAGCTGTGAAAGATGCGTAAACAGAAGGTTCTTCTATATTTTATTCTTGTACACAACTTGCCTCGTTTTAGCGAACGCTGTGATTTCGTGATCGTTGCTCAAACCTGAAACCGAGAGCGGAAATGCTGGGAGACCGATAGCTCTTTGCGTTCCATCCTAGCGAATTTAATAGAGTTTTTACTTTGTAATTTTTCGTTAGTCGCAGGTATTACATATTGATGCAACAATTATTTCTGACTTACAACGTACGTATAGTTTACACCGCGTATTTTCGAATATTTACCAACTCTTAACGCTTAGACGCTTTTTTCTCTGTAAATAATTAAGAAAATATTAATATCCTTGACTCTTTACAAAGATTATCTTACGAAAATGCTTCTGTCTTTACAGCATATAAAAATATAATTCTACACGCAGATAGATAAAGAAAGTATAACGTCGTAAAGAATAACTTTGTAATTCAGAAGTAATGAAATCGTAGTAGTATGAATATTCATTTTCGATATCGAATTTCTTCATCGCTACGTGTTACCCGAATTAACGAATTATTTGAACGAAGAAACCAAGAAACGTTAACCGATAGTTTCTCTGTCGATTATTCGAATTTCGCCAAGTCGAACGCAAAGAGCAAAATTCCCAGATCGACCGCGGTTTCGTACCAAGTTCAAGTCGATCTTTCACCCGCATGGATCCCACGTCGCGGCGCACTTCGCTTCTGTAATTTCCGGGGACACGCGATTACGTCGCTCGTCTTTGCACCCGCGAAAATGGGAAAAGAATGCGGCATCGGTTAACCGAAGAAAGTCTCGCGAGTCCGACCACGATGTACGAAGAACGACATTAAGAGAGAAAAATGGAGGAGAAGTAAACCAGGCTCGATTCTTGCGAGGTCAGTTTGCCCAAATTCCGTCAGAATTAACGTTTAGTCATTTAGCTAGTAATTTACGACGTACTTGCTGCTGTGTGTATCGCGCATTCGTGAAACGAAGTCGAATAACGAAGGTGCTATCTAAGAGAATAGAATGATCGTGGCCCGGCAGCCAGGAACGACGAAGACAAAATGACCGCTCGCGGGAAGAAGGTGCCAAAGAAAAAGACTATAATAACGAATACTTACCTATTACACGAAAGAGGCTCGTGTGTTAGACGAGGAACAGAGTCGACCTATAATAGAAATAATGGAGAAAAAAAGAAAGAAATTTCGAGCCTCGCATTTCCCTGCGAGCGGACTGGTCCGGCGCCGCGATGACTCGGTTTAGTCGATAAATTACGTATATTATGTTATATATATATATATATAGTCGAGTCGATTAAAGGTGTAAGTTTTACAACGCGAAGCGAATAATCATCGTCCCACGATGGACGAATGAACGAAGGAAGGCGAACATATTAGGTTGACTTGAAAAAGTGAACCGAAAGGGAGAAACTATTAAGGAAGAGAAACTAAACGAAAGAAGCGGATATAAGCGAATAGAGAACATGTCCAACGAATGTCAACGAGTTTCAAACAAGCAAACAAATAAACAGAATTAAAGGAAACGAAGAAAAATAAGAACATTTGCGCGCGTAGGGAGGAAAGGGAAAAATAGAGGAAATTAAAATGAAGCTAAAAGAAAAAGTAGCGGAGGAAAATGATAAACTAAGAAAAAAAGAAAAATAAAACGAACGAAGAAGAAGGAGAATGAAGAGGCGCGAATATAGAAGATACAAACACGGCGAGACTTTTAATTTACGCTGGTTTGTCCATCTCGTGCGGTCTCTCGAAAAGAACAAAAAAGAAAAATAAAACGCGACGGTCGACAGGACCGCGTATCGTGTCCGTCTCTCGCGCGTGATTAACGATCCAAGGATTAAGGAAAATAGTTCCATGACGCCTGATGCCTCTGTTAGCTTTTATACAGGCAGCCACGTCCGCCCGCTGCCGCTCCATTTCCACTGCACGCCAGATTTACTGCGTTATGGACGGCCGAGGGAAGCTGCAAATCGTTCTGTCACTGAAAGACCGACTGTGCTTGACGTTTCCTGCTCCGCCGTGGTACGACCGACCGTGCTTCGAGGATCGTTCTCTGTACGGGAGAAACTACCCCTTGCAATTCGCGATCGCGATCCTTACGTCATCCGATTACCTTCCTTTTTTTAACATATTTTTAATAGATTCGAAGGGTTTATGAATTTGCGAGTTTGCAGAATATTTGATAGATTAGGTGATCGTGTAATAGAGTTCACGGTGAACTATTTAACTCTGGTCTGATCTTAAGTCAAATCATTGGTCGTAGGTTATTACCGTAACAGAGTTTGAGGATAATTTTAGGATATTTAATTTGAACACTGTGTCGGCTATCAGTGTGTATCGATAAGATTTCACTGAGATCGAAGTTCGTGTATTCTTCAAATATTTCGAGAATTCGTGATCATTTTAACGCCAGTTCCTTCGTTTACTTCTTAAGCTACACCGTTTGTGATGAAAACGATATTGTTTAATCTGTGATACCGGTATCTTGAATAAGAAAGTATTTTCTTGAATTTCGATAGATTCCGTAGATCTTCGATTCGAATATCGAACGATGATTGTAACGATATTAGGAAGAGAAACGAGTGATTTTTAAAAATTACTTGTGCAACGAAAGCTATCTATAGGTATATTCTTTAAACTGTGATATCGATACCTTTAAATGATAAAAGAAATATTTATTTAGCGTACTAGTGTCGTTCAGTCTGGAATGACTAACGAATATTTAGATCAGTTTAGTCTGTATAGCTTGAAAAATGAGTTTCATATCTGGTAGCATTATTTTATCTTCGTCGCCTCCTTTATTTCCATCCGTCCTTTTAAACGGTGTGGGAATGAATGTGTTAGAGTTATGATTACAAAGATCGAAACACAAAACGGTGTTATATTAGCAAATATTTTCAACAAATACTCGTGCAAATATTTAGACAGCTAGAATTTGGTATGGAAATATATATAGTAATATTAACGGGGAATAAATGAAACGTGCTAAGGAAACAGCTCGAAAATTGTCCGATAAAACGAACACCCTGATCGCGTGTTTCATCTTTGTCGAGATGCAACATTATGAAACGAATAGGAGCATTTTTATTGAATAATTATTATCGGATTTATCGTTAAATTTACAATGTGCGGATTGTTATGCATTTATGGGGAGATTTAAAGACGAACGTGTGAAGATGCACGGAATGCAAATAATATAAAAAAATTGTCAAAATATGACGCTCCAAGTTCTATTCGATTTAAGTTAAGCGTATTTATAGAAATACCAACTTGCATAAAAATCCGCAGTCTTCTGATTTATATTCAAAATTGCTCGATACGAATTTCTGACAAACTTGGTATTACAACGGTGCCAAATATTGCAATGAAATGGAACGTTAGATATTAAACGAATAGCGATTATGCTATTCGATCATGCATACGTAAAATGATAAGAAATTGCATTTATCATCTTAGTTAAAAGCTCAACATGAACACCATTATGCATTAGATAGCGTGTTCAGAAAACTTATCAACGAATGCAGAAGAGATCTATGTCTTTATCTTTACATTAGTCATGTTCATTTTCTCTTATTAATTTCGCTAACTGAATTACTCTATTTATTCTAGCATACGGATTGGTCTTAGAGTAACAAGTACTTTACATTATTAATTTCGAGAAAATTTTTTTCACGAATATATTTTAACAATCAACGTGTGATAATCGGACCTATTTTAAATATCGACTGTTTAAATGTATTACAATTCCGAAATACATTTCACGTGATCAATTCGACTAATTTGATAGTTGCGTAACTATTATAATTTGATATTGATTGACAACGAACGATATATATATTTTTTACAAGCACAATCTGTAATAACGACATATGCAACAGTGATAATATTTTATAACGATTACTATTACATATGTGATATCGAAATATCGACTCGAATTTTAGCTAGCTTTTATTATCAAGGTACTAAGTAAACGTTTGATTTACTGTGATAACATGATAGATGATATGAAATAGTACAAGAACAAAGGGGTCGTACGAGAATTTTTACAAGAATTTAATTCACCAACTGTGAAAACAATTTTTCGTTTAAAAACACGCGTGTCATTTTTGTATCCTTGCACGATGGATGCAAGATCGCATGTTATATAACAAATAACACATTGTGTATCGGAGTTATATATTTTTCGAATAATGCGTATTTCCAGGAATTTTTAATACAAATTCTACGCACTTATTTATTTAAAAACTAACTTCTTTACTTTACTTTTCATATATTTTAATGGGATTTATGTAAATATAAATATCATGTGTGATTATTTAATGCTTCTTTCAAATATGGTCAAATATATGAAGTAAAGTAAATGCTTTGATGAGACAGGACATCGCATGCTTTGTAGATATACAATTGATGGAAGCGATATAGCGAGGTTATCAAACAGGTCAGATGTTAAAGTTTACGCGTTTCAGAAGCAAGAGCAGCAGAATATATGAGAAGATATGCCACAGCTCGTAATTACTTCTCTCTTTGCAAAATATATTTTAAAGTATACTGTATGTCATATAATTTAGAAGGGAAATTATAATTGGCTAAAAAGATAAATCATTTGTCACCTTGCAGAAATTTCGAATTGATAATTCTCCAGTAAGTTTACGAATTTTACAAAAAGATAACACGAAACGTATTTTAACGTTGAAACGAACATAGCTGTCAATAGTCTACAAAATTTGATTATACAATTCGTCTCGCATTTACACAACGTGTTGATTTATAACCAGAAACCGCGTGAAGTCAAACTACTTACTATCTTTTCAACCTCGGTTAATAAAATTTAATTATACTCATTCGAGTCTATTCGTAATATTTAAGTGGAATGGAGAAGAAAAGATGCAGCTCACGAAAGCGTTTGACCATTTATCATAGGAAACTTCTATATCCTATTGTATGTATTATGTAAAACTTTTTGAAATTTCATTAGCTCTGCAGCGAGACACAACAGTCACGTTTATATCGATAAAATTTGAAACCAAGTTGAAAAATGTAGGTATTACGAAACATTTACGTCAAACATATATTTGGTAAAATAATTAGCATGCAGCATAGATAAATATCTTAAGCGTATAATAAAAATTAAAAAGAATTCCACCGAATATCGAGGCTTATTTAATATAACGAATAATTGACCATTCAAATATTTTTATCATCTCTGTACATACTTGTATCAAATTTGTATCTTGTAACTTTTATTTACATTTCCAGATTTGTTTCTAAATTGACCGATATAATCAGAATGCTGGAATCTCTTTATAGCGCCAATATAATTTCAAAGTATTACGTACAACACACACAATATATTTCTAACAGGTTTCTATAAATGTTGGCATACTTTCACGAGCCACCGTGGATGAAACTCGATCACAGTTGTGTTCCTATCGAGTGAATCGATAGCGAAAACTAGTCCTTTGACCGGGAGAAAATCAAAGGGCGAAAGTCGCCTCGCACTCTTCCAATTTGCCAAATCACAAAGTTAAAATCGTCAATGGTGCTCTAGTCGAGGTTTCGCAGCCCGTCCAAATTACGAGAGCGATTTTTTCGCCGGTCTCTCTACTCGACCTAGAAAACAAAAACCCACAAAGATTCTTCCGATAACTCTTCTGTGACGGCGCGGTAAAATCTTCATATCCCGCGGAAAAAAACATTCCCGCGGGACCGTGTGTCCGGCAAAAGAGGAACGAGAAAAACAGATGTCACGGAGAAGAGGATGAGCCACGCGTTGTCACGTTTTTCACAGACGTGAGAACTTCCGGTTTTACACCGTTACACTTGAAATTTCACGTATTCTTTCTATGCAGTGTAGTAATTCTACGGGAATCGTCGATTTACACTTTCGAAAGTCTACTTTTTCTGTTTTCCATGGCCTTATAGGGAAAAAATTGGTAATAATTGAACCGAGGATATGTTTCTGCATTTATGGGAAATTTAACGCTACTATATAAAACTATCGACGACTAGAGCATAAATCTTGTAACTAGTGAAATTTTAAGGAAAGATATACGAAGGAATAGTATAGTGTTAGAAGAAAATCGTTAAAAATGTCGTTGTCTTAAATCCAACAGATTTTCATGTCTATTTTTAATTCGAGATTATGTGGGAAGAATATGATAAGTCAAGTTTCGTTAATCTTCTGACTTTTATGTCATTTGATGGTTAATAAAAAGAATGTTAATACGAGACAGATAAAAAGGGGAGAAAGGAGAGTTTAGAGAAAATACAAGACATTTCTCTCTAAAATAGGAAGCTTTCAATTTTCGTAAGTTTACAGCATTCTTGCTTCTGTTCTACGGAAATGAAACGCCCACGCGTTTTTAATCTCAAAATACGATTGTTCGAGAACAGTAACTGTTCAGCCAATATCTTAATCGATTATTCGGAACTTGAATTGAGATTAGTATCGTAAAATCACTATTTGGTAGAACCATCAGATTTAGGAAAAACGTATAGTTGAGATAAATTTCATTTTTATAGTCTTTACGAACAAAATGTAATGTTGAAATGATTTATTTACTTTAACAATATCGGCGATTTTGATGTAATAATTATTTTTGATCTTGAAATTTTAACTTTTAAATTGATACAGTTTGTTTCTGGATATTTTCATAGTAATAATATCATTTTGCGATATTCATATCTATCGACGATGCCTCTGATTCGGAACAATCCGATTCGATCGAATACGTGCGATGCACCGATTTGTAACAAAGAAAATAAAGGCAGCTGCATTCTGTTCTTGAAAAAATGATCACGAAGTATTGACACCGCGTCGAGCCAAAAATTTCCACGAATAGAAGCAAAAACAGACACTCGACACGCCCCGTTGTGAAATGCCATCAATCTTTCCATTGACAGTGTTACATCCAACCGAATGTCTCGTAGTTCGAATTTCCCATGCCAAAAGAGGCTCATGAATATCCATCGTCTAGGTGAAATTTAGGTTACCTAATTCCATTTGATCTGATTTTTCCTTCGATCAAACGTTACATAATATCGTTAGAATTATTTTAAAATAGACGCGTATGGATAAAGTTTTCTCAAGGGAATCTTCAGACTTCTCACAATTCTCTTCAACGAATCGTCATTATCCTTGTATCCTTCGTACAAAAGGGGATCCTTTTTCTTGGTCTTTCAGTTATTACCGTCCTCTACCGTAACGAAATAGGGATTCCAACGTTTACGATTTACTCTGCCGCTGTTCTCGAATTTTTATATTTTAATCTTCGTCTTATTATAAACAATTTTAATGTTTCGATTGTAATATAGTAAATAACAATTGGTTGGTATTTTGTTGAAGCTTGAGATGCTACTTAACGTTAGAAAAACACGATTAAGCCGAGCTTTTCCTTTCACTACGACGAACTAAAACTCGAAAGTTAGCGCGTAACACCCACCATTCTAAATAATTTAAACTTCCTTCGTTTAAACTTTCTGTCGCTCCACCTCTAGCGTCGAATTCTATTCGTCGTCGCGAGTAAGCCGGTCTTTCTTCCTATTTACCTCACGATCCTCAGCGGCCTCTGCCGAACTGCGATCACAGAAAGAAAACCATAGACCACCTATCTTTATTCTCTGTTAACTTCCCATCAAACTACCAATACACGTTGTTAGCACGACAAATACCGCAAATACTCGCGATCCTTTACCATCTGCCTTCTGCAAAGGCAGAAGTTGCTTCGATACGAAGAAATAGTCGCAGTAGTGCGACTTCTACCAAACTTCGGTTGCAGCAAGAAGACGAAAAACCACCTATTTCTATTTTGCAACTACAACTTCCAAATTTACTTTTTAACATTCTCCAACGTCTTCGCTTACTACCAAAGCACGACCATCGACGATTACCACGAGAAACACGAAAAGTTCACGATCCTCGCGACCTTCCTTTCGTCGAACGACCTTGACGTTAAAAAATAACAATGCGATAATGCGACTGTTACCAAACTTCGATTCCAAAAGTAAGACGAAAAGCCAGCTATCTTTACTCTTCGCCAATTTCCAAATTTACTCTATACTCCGCTCTTTATCGAGCCACCACCACGAGAAACCTTAAAAGTCCACGAACCTCGCGATCTTCCTTTCGCCGAAGCAGGGTTGGTCGAGCGAGGTCGCATCGATATCGCGAAATAATGCATCGGATCCTCGTTTTAAGTTCGCCCCGAACTTACGACTGGGATTCCAGGAATCAATTAATCGTGACGCGGTGCGCGTTCATGTGCAACTCTGCGTCAGTGTGCATAAAGAGAGAAAGAGGAGGAAGAGAGACAGAGACAGAGAGAATAAGGTAATAGAGAACAAAGAGGGGAAGAGGAGGGCAGACCAAGCGGAGTACGAAACGCAGGCCAAGTGGAAAGAGGGAAAGAGCGCGATAGACCGAGCGTGTGACTCCGCATCACGTTAGTTCGCGTGATAGCCAACCGTCTTTCAATCGAAGTCGGTAAAACGTACCTCCGAAATGTGCACGGCATAATATATTCAACGCGATTGTGTGTCCCGGCACAAAGGGATCGCGAGCAAAACGGAATGGAGCAAACCTGGGTTTTCCAGGGGCGCGCGAGCGCGCGTATGGCCTCGGCACGGTTCCCGAGCCCAATGGGGTGGGGCGAAGCTGGTTTTTCCGTCATACGTCCACTAACGAATATATCCGCGTGATATTTTTTTATAGTTTACCTACGAGTGATATTTATATTTACGGATATATTTACGTCAAGCGATCCGTCTATTTCATGGCCTATACGAGAACAATGCGCGAGGGAGGAAATCGGTGTTGGTGAAGGAACACGGGAACCGCGAGTCGAAAGCCTTCGCGCGATTCTTAGATATCTTGTCTAAGTACGTTGTTACGAGGTCGAAATTTCGAATATCTCGTATTTGATTTCGTTTCGTGTTGGTATTTCTGTATAGAAATACTGTTTGTAGATATTTGGATACGGTAACAATATTTGAGTACGGTCAGGGTATACAGAGTGAATCGACGATTAAAAGTTACTCATTTTCGTTTTTGGAACAAGCTCTATTGATTTAATTTTTTATTCAAATACACAAATATTTGCACTCCCTTCGCTGTATTTACAACTCTATTTGTTTCATTATTGATATTTAACACGAGGTTGAGGTAATATTGATACACACATTACCGAACTTTGACCGAAGTATGCAAGGTAGCGTTGAATTAATGACGAAAATCTATATATTTATAGGTTTTATACAATTAATTGTACTAATCGAATTTTTTATGTCATTCGATGGCGCAAGAGACTGTATTTATATAGAAACTCATTTCGCTATATTTATGTTTGTACTTGTTTCATCATTGAAATTTAGCAGGACGTTCAAATAATATTGACGCACCTATTCGAATTTGAGCGAAATGTTCTCTCTGTTTTAGGGGAACCTTTGCCGCGTATAAAATTGTTTTCGCGGTTGAATTTTTCGATGACTTCGATGATATTACGAATTTAAGTGTTTGTTTATTCAGGAAGGCTTAATACCGTTCACTGACGTACATTACCGTATTCTGGCGAGCTGCAAAGCGAGCGAACACGTTAATGTTTGTTTCGCATTAAGTAGCGGTGTCGATAATTAACATGTTCGCTGCGATGCACACCATTGATGATGCATTATTGGCTTTTCGTGTACACACAGCCTGCTGTCAGTACACCGTACTATGCGACGTTGCATGCGCACGTAGTTCTTACTTCTTACGATCGTGATTCTCTTCCAATAAATTACTATTTATTATTAAAAACTTTTAGAGCATAACTTTAGAGAAACTCGAAACTGAATAGATATGTATATAACTGTACGTTTGATTTCGATCTTTAACACGACATCGTTACTGTACAGTAAATTTACGATACGATTAGAATATAGAAATACACATTAAAGAATCGTGTAAGTAGATAAATCCTCGAACTTATAGAAGAAAATTTTTATTCCTCGTTCTAAACAACTCGTCGAACTTTAAATGTCATGGATAAACCTTCGGACTTCTAAGAAAGAATTTTTACTTCTTGTTAAACGACTTATGGTACAGTTTATAATAAGCGGCTATCTTTGTTATTTTCAATCGTGGAAATACACATGTTACCGAAGCGTATAAAGTCTGCCACCTCGTCTGGACCTCGAAACAACGTTAACAAAATGCAAGCTTCGATCACGCGTATTAATTCGGATGCGGAAGAATTCGAAATTCCAGGCAATTCGCGGCGGACCGATGGATGATCACGTTCGAACTTAATCGCATTCGAACTGAAACAACCCGATTTACCCGAACGAAGAGTAACGTTAATTCCGTACATTATCCCAGAACAAAGCAGCACCCATGGCCAGGCGTTATGGAATGGATTGGGCATTTTAAACCACGTTTAAAAATTATAGCTACCTATACAACACCAAGTAATATATATATATATAAATATATATATATACAAATTCTAATATATATATAAATATATATATGACGATGATAATATTATATATATATATGAAAATATATTTAATGAATGTTCCTATATTTATACTATAAGTACATACTAAGTGTATTATATTGATATTCGATGGCGATTTCAGGTTTTTACCAAGCAACAACAAAATAAAAAAATTAAATGTCTGTTTAGATAGTAGCCGTACTATCGGGTTAATTTAAACGAATCGGAAGAGAGTGAGAAAAATAACGAAAAAAAAAAAAAGGGAGATAGGTAGAGAGAAAGGGAAAGGCTAAAGAAGCGAACGTGACGAAGAATGATATCGATGCAAACGATAGAGAAGGGTTAGACGAAGAAACGATATAAAATACGCGACGAGCCTCGATGATTCGAGATTTCGAATCGATCGTCGTGTAATTTTGAGATTAGACGAAGGTTAGAGGAAGAATGCTTGAAAGCGGGTTTGTGTGTGTTGGTGACGAGGCGAGGGTCTTCCTATACTGACTGAACGATCAGATGTGATATACGCATAAGGATTAATTAATAATTATTTACTCCAATCGTATATATATATATGTAATTAATATTATTAATATGGTTATGATATACAAACATTATATCTATATATTGTGTATAGGTAGATAGGAACATATACAATGTTTTTAACTGGTTTATCTATGTTCCGAGGATATATGCTAAGTGTATTTAGGTAGGATGTTGTAAGAAGGTCTCTCGGCGTTAATGTTTAATCGATAGAGACCACGCAAGTGATTAAAACCGCGACGAACCGATCCTCGCGACGAAAATACCACTGTTCCTCTGAATTATTTAATTATATATCGGTTTCTTATTCGGGTCTCGCTACCAGGAAGACGACGGTTCTTTTAAACGTTGCTCAGAAATAACTCGGAAATC